TCGCCCATCTTATTCAGAAAATGTTAACTAAGAAAATTTATTGAAAGATTTTTTTTTTTTCAATGATTTTGGGTTTGGGGTGCGTTCTGGGGATGTATATATATGACATTTAGCAGCGATTTTGCTTCGAATTTGCATCGCAATTTAGCATCGAATTAGCATCGAATTATTTTGCGTCGACTTTGCTTCGTATTAGCCTCGAATTTGCGTCGGTTTTAGGCGACGCTATAGAAGTAGATGAACCCATTAAAAATGTGCCACCTGCCTACCAAGTTCGACGCTATTGAGCCGACGCTAAATCGACGCTAATTTAGCGTTGATTTAGCGTCAAATTAACGATCTGGATGCTAAATCGACGCTAAGTCGACGCTAAATTGCATCGATTTAGCGTCGATATTTTTCGTCTCAATTTTGCGTCGAATTTGCGTCGAATGGTTTGAACGATACAAAGACGACACAAAATCGTCGCTAAATTTGCGCCGACACAAATCCGACGCTAAATTTCGACGCTAAAACTGTTTTTTCTTGTAGTATGAAGCATTTGTTTAATTTCCTCTTTAACAATTTCAATTGGTTTTTGTTGTAGCTTGAGTCTATTTTATTTTGCAGTTTCACTTTCGTGCAACCTGTCTTTTGCAAGTAAGTATTGAGTTACGATTTCTTATTCTTAAGCATGTTTTGTCTTTGTATTAACACATGTTTTCTCTTGGTTTCAGTGCATGTATATTGGATCCCATGAGAATCCTATACCATCGTAGAGGTATTACAATGCTTGATCTCTGATTTATTTTATATATATTGATCTTATCAGTTTATCAAATATATCTTGTTTTAACTTTAGTTTTGGTTTATATGTTATATATTAGAGATTCGAGGAGCTCCTCATATGGATGGCTTGTCTTGCTACAAAATCTCTGATTTTATCTTAGCGAAGTCACATATACTTTGTTATTGTGTTTTGTGATTTATGACAACAAATAAAGAAAAGCATGTGAGAGCTGCTTCCATCCAAAAGGAAAGTGATAAGAAGCGTCAAGAAGAGCATGTGAGAGCTGCATGTAATTAACTCACACTTGAATTGTGATGCTTAGGTTTATCTACACTGGATCAGTCGACATAACAACTGAGATATCAAAAGACCTTCTAAGAGTAGCAGAAGTTTGTTTCTCTTTGTCCTCTATCTCATAAATCCTTATGATTAGCACTTGTGTATGATTAGCTGAAGTTTTTATTTAATATTTGGTTTGAATTATAAATCTGTAAGACTTGTTATGTTTTTTCTTATAAAATAATAAACATATTTAAATATATATTGTTGGGCAAATTTAATTTTTATATATATAGCAAAACGGTTTAAATTTAATTAAA